TCCGGACGAGCCGAACTTGGGGCCACCCGCCCGGAGGCGCCTTCCTCACAGCCCCGCTGGGCTGTGTGCGGGCGGGAGGCGCCGTGCAGCAGAGCTGGGCGCCCCAAGGGCTGCGCTGGCTCGTGCGGCTGCTCGTGGAGCTCACAGTCCCCAGAGATCGGGGTCCCCCTGGGCTCTGGTCCTCAGGGAAATTAAACTTGCCTTTTTCTTCTGTTTCTTTCCGGAGAATTGGAGGGTCCATCCCCATTGCCAGCTGCGGGCAGGAGGGTTCTGCCCTTGCTGCTCCCGCAGGCTGTGCGAGCAGGGGCCGTGCGGGACCTGCCCTGCTGCGGGGGGCGCCGCTCGCGTTTTCCTGCCCGCAGGCGCCGGGGAGGCTCCTCGTGGAGCGACCTTTGGAGCGCGCCCCGCATGGCAGCGATGCCCCTTCCCAAAGAGCACGGGAGAGTTTGGGGCGAATCCCGATCGCACCGACGCCTCCAAGCAGGGCTGTGGACAGATGCTTGGAGCAGGTGTCAATCCAAGGAGAGCGGATGCTTTTAGGAATGATTTTTGCAACCCGCCCTCCGTGTAACTCGCTGAATGAGAGTCAAGCATTAGTTTGTCTGAAGAAGCGACTCCTCATTCCTGGAGTGTTTCTGGCAGCCTCGCGTCCGCTCTGTGGTTTTCCCAGCTCGGCGGTGGTGCTGGATGGGCCCGGTACAGAGCAGTGGGATGGTGGTTGTGTCGCGTCACTGTCGTGGGGCTGGTTGGAGGCAGAGTTCAATGCTTGATTTGCACAGCTACCTTTGAAGCTCTACCTGGAGCGCAGTGGCCCTGAAATTCCCCATATGTCTGTCTGTATGTGTGTGAATAGGTGTGTGTGCATGGGTACCATGTATGTGCAACAAACGTGCAGTTCATGTTGCGGTGATCTTGAATACCTGCTGACTCTTGAAAATGAGATTCTGAAGACGATCATATTTCACTATGGCATATCTTATATTCCCTGAATATATTGTTTCAAACATGTCTGATTTTCTTTTTTCTTCTTCTTTTTTTTTTTTTTTTTAATAGTGATGTTAGTGCACTTTCTGGAGTGAGTTATCATTCATGGTCAGAATGACAGTAATGCTTCTGCACTAAGCAGAAGTAAAATAGTAGAACAGTCCCTACGGTGTCTGTGGGGAGTTTTCTGTTGAGAAGAGGTGAGTGTGGGGGGTAACAGTCGAGACTACAGCCTCAGGCAGGTGGTAGTATAAGCTTAAATATAACAAGTGAGGATGCACATATGAATACATCTATTAAGTATAATGTAAAATGGATTATACTCTATAGAAAATAGCATCAAAATTCAAATGAGATGTGATGGTTGAAAGGTATGAATATGTGTGTATATATCCATAGCTAATTGGATTCTGGTGACTGAATTTCTAAATTAATGCAATTTTTATTCACTGAGTGAAACATTAAAGGTTTGTATTTTCTCCTCTTTGTGTCTATCTTCAAGTCCAAACCTTAATGAATTACACTAGAGCTGTCATAAGGTGGGTGAATGCATCAGCTTTTAGGGATATAAATATCTGTTCACAAATGAGTATTTTTAACCTCCAAAAAGGGGGAAGGGAGCTATGGATTMTAGAAACTAAGGTTGCAGTAACTTTGAAATATGCAAATAGAATTATATCTCTTGCTGATTATGTTTCATTCTTCTTATACATGGGAAGCTATCGATTTTTTTTTAATGAGAATAGTCTACACTATATGACTATTTTGCTCTCTTCTGAAAAGTAGATTAGCGCTTGGAGAGCTTAGGTGACTAATACCAATTTTAGTGCTAGTCTTGGGCAATAAAACTAATTCTAGCCTTTAGGCTGGTAGCCAACTCATTACGGAAATTCTCCCAGTGCTTCTTTTATTCACTCCTAGCTGGTGACTGAGGGAGCCCTGGCCATGAATCAAATTGAAGCTACTTTGATGTCGTGCGACCTGGGGAGGTGCAGCCACGCGTCAGCCGGTGACACGACGCTGCCCTGCAAGTGCAGGCCATCCGCTTTGTRCTTATAAAAACAACCTTTGACTTGGAATGAACTTTGGGAGAGAATTTAGTTTTCGAGAACCGGAGTCGCGAATCATTTTCTCTTCTCCTCCCTTTATTGATTTTGTACTTTGTAAAACAGAAACTCTTTATGGATGTTTTTCTGCAAGGTCTCTTGTGTTTACCTCTGACTTACCGGAGCGGTGCAGTGTTTTAAGCACTTGTGAGCCTGCCTGCCTCCTCCCCACATAAGTGTAGACTGGATTTGGGCGATGAGCAAGTGTTTTTGGCAGTCACTCGCAAGGGACAGGTGTGCTTTTTAGCTAATTGCTTTACTGAAATCTTCTTTTTTTTCCCACCTGAAATTTAGGAGGTATGTTATCCCTGAACTGTCAGGACTCTGAGCTGCTTGGATGAATGAATTGCTTCATAAAGGCTTCTGTGAAGTCAAAGAGAGGGTCTCAGTCTTGAAGGGAACACCTGGCAAGAAATACTGTGAGAATTTGCTTTTTGTTTAATAATATGCTGATCATAGAGACTTCTTTTTCTTAACTTTTCATCCCTTCTCTCAGAATCATCAGGTGGACTTACGTCTTCTTTTGGCAAAGAATTGAACACTCTGGTCATCAAAAACRTGTTACCTGCCCCTCTGTTTGTGCCATGATGCGACGTCTGCCTTGCTTGGAATACATCTGTACGTGCTGTGGAGGTGCCAGGCAGTGAAAGGGACTTGCATGCAAGTTAGACCACCTAGGCTGTCACCTCTGCTTTTGTTGTATGTGGGCTGTATATAAAACACGTCTGTGATTCCTTGAAGATTAAAATATGCTAAAGCCTATGCAGTGAAATGTTGCACATGTATGCGTGACATCCTCATAGACATGTCACAAGTATCCTTGAAACTTAGAAACTGTGGTCAGTGAGGATAACAACTGTAATTAAAACATCCTTTTTTCAGATCTAGTTTCCCTGTAGCCTAAATATGTCTTTGTTTTCAGTGCTTTGGCATTCTGGCGCTGTTTGATATTTTGTGTCTCTCTAATACTACATAAAGGAAATACCTCATTCTTGCAGCCGTTACGTTTGACCTGCCTGACCCTCTTTTGAGATAAATTTGATTGTAATGCTGTGTGTGCTGTTCAGAATAGGTCATTTGCGGAGTGTGGAATAGGACTGTGCTGCCTTTGTTCTTTCAGAATCTTTCATACTTGGGTTACATTAAAATTCATATGACACAATTTTCTCCTGCGCTGGCTGTGCTCGTAGGCTGAAACTTTCCTGTTGCAGATTGGAAAGATCTCTTTGTTACCTCCTAATAAACGGAGCTGCGAGGATCTCCTGCGTTGTCGAAGTGCTGCTCCTTGGGAGAAGAAACAGTTAGGTGTCGTGTTCAGGAGTCTAATTAAAAAACAAGCATTTTTGCTACTTCAGTGGTCTGGTTCTGACYCATTTTGACTTTCAGAGTCACGATCTTTTTGTTTGTTTGTTTTCATCTGCTTTGTGGCACACCTTGGCCACAGAACAAAAGAATTCCTTCCCTTTCAGACGAAATTTGAGAGAAAATTTTCATTGAGTTTGTGAATAAATACTGGTTTTTTGTTACTTTGTTTCATTTTGTTTTTAATGTGTTTCCACATACTGAGTAGAATTATGTCCTGAGTGGTTCAGCTTTAATTCTAATACTGCTGTCCAAAGAGAAAATTGGGCCTGCCAGTCAGCCTTGATTGAGTAATAAATAACAGGTTGTTGTTAGTCACCAAATAAGAAGTTTCACCAAATAAAACCCCGTATTTTTAACCATACTTTAAAATCACTGCAGGTAGCTCTTATGGAAATGAACATAGTGTTTCTCCTTGAGATGTTAATGCTGATTGACTGAGGACAGGGTTAACACTGTTACGGACACCAACCCCTGACTGCAGCTTCGTTCCTCTGGAAWTGGTGCAATGTGTCTTAACATTGTAATGTATTAATACTAACATTTAATTAATAATATGTATGCATATATATATATATTTATATATACTGGGGTGAAGAGGTAGAAGGGATCTACAGAAGGTCCTGGATTTAAGATTATATGGAGTGATGATGACAGCTTTACAGATAGGTTGTGATAAACACAGAGGGCAAAGGTTTTTCTATGTTTTTCTAAGTTTCCATAGCATATTCTAAAAACAATCAAATAACCAAAGAAGCTCAAGCAAACACTGCACTCTGGAATGGATTTCCTTTCCATAGGTTATTTTATGTTAGTAACGAAGGCAAATCTGCGTAGCCTGTTCAGAAGCATCGAAAATGGCATTATAATTGCATCCTAATGTATGAACTAAATTCTAAATTATTATCTCAGAGTGTAAAAACAATTCAAGTGCATCTTCAAGAATGTAATTGCTGTTTATTATTAATTTATTTGAATTTTAATAAAGCTTTAAACCCATGGGATTTGGATGCCAGATTCCTTCCATTTGAAGGAATTCCTTTTTCATGCTAGTTTTAGACAACCTGAGATACGAAGCTAAAAAGATGTCACTGTAATACATTAAAAAAGCTCATCACATTTGCTATTTTATACTGACAGCATCATTTTAAATACCAATAATTACYGCTTTCAGTACCTTTTTTTCGCTACAGTTACATGAGCGGATGTGCAGAATTAAGTAGAAAATATATGGATTTCCAATTTGGTCATTATGCAAAGAACAGTCGTTTTGAGCTTGTGGATCAGTTGACTATATATACTGTGCAGAAAATAGAAAAAAAATTACAGCTATTGCAAACAGGAATAAAAAGTCCAACCATTTTTGTTGTCTTTGTGTAAGATGCTTGTGATTCAGACTTGATTTAGGCACTTCTGAGGTGCTAAATATTCCAGTTTTATTCTTGATGCTCTTTTTTCACTTCTTAAGTCTCGAGAGGCCTGACAGCCAAAGGACTGTTAATTTTGTAATGGATGGTACTTACTTGAAGTGACAAATAGTTTCTCTCTTGTTGATTGCATATTACTTCCATGTTATCTACGGATTATAGATGCTTCTATTTTTGTTCTTGTGTGTAATATCATTAGCCTCCATGAGATTATAGCTTAGCTGTATGTAGATGACATGAAGGAGGGTTTGCAGACATGGCCTTGCGTATTTTGAAATGATCAGGGCATATCCAGCAGGTTTCTCCTGTGAGATGATGGCCCTTTGGCTCTTTGTTTTGCAGTCTGCTGTTTTTCTGCTGCTAGGGTCGGTCACTGAAGACCTGATCAAAAGACCCTGAAGTCAATTTAAAGAATCCCATTAACTTCAGTGGCTTTGGGTCAGAATCCAAGAGGGATCATTAGCTGGATGCACAGGACATGAATTTCCTTGCTGTGAAATGCCCTTGAAATCCTACTCAAAGGAGTTGTGCTTTCTCATAGCGGCAATTATGAAGGGATCATTCTCTGGGAATCTTTGAAATACACGAGGAATTATTCATGCTGTTGCAGCAGTGAGTTTGCTCCCTAGTTTTCTGGAACAGAATCTTCCTTCAAATCCTTCATTCAGGTTTTTGCAAGCGGTGCAAAATGCTCCCGAGCTGTTGCCTGGCAACAACGCAGTCMTGCAACAGTCTGTGGGAGTCGTTGTTAGTTGTACGTGTGTCTCTGTGTGTGTATATGTATATATGTATATATGTATGCATAAGGAGATACATTTCGGACAGACTCGGCTGAGATTTTTCAAAAAAGCTCTTCAAAGAGCATTTGTAAAATGTTTGCATAGCTTATGGACAATAGTCACAAAAATATTTATATGTATTTTTGAGCATATTACCTCGGAAAGTTTCTCTTTTATTCTAGGCTGGGTAAAAGGTCAGGTAGTTGGGCCATATTTCACAAATATACTTGTATTTAGTCATAACAAGCAATATAAAATATTCCGCTGTTGAAGGTGGAAAACACTTTATTATGTTCGTGCTTATGGATGCAGTTTGTACTACTCACTGTCCTTAAAACTGATAAATGTATTCTTGAACCAAAGTCTGGGTACTTTACATTGTAGTTTTGCAAATATGTTTGTTTAAAATGACAATGGTAAATGTCAAGCTGCATTTTATGTTCTTAACCTCTTAAATTTGTAATGCAGTTCTATGAGTCAGAAGGATATTGGTGTCTTATTTTAGATATAATTGTTCTGTTACAAACTGTTTTCCATATAAAATAAATAGTTCATATCCAAATAAATGGAATATCTGTGATAAGGTCAACAATGACTTAAGAAAACAGCCTTAATTTTCTCAGGAGAAAATCTGTACGTTGTGGGACAAACTGGCAAACTTATAAGCTGAGGGAAAGCAAAGTTTGCTGTAACTGTTATCTTAGCGCTTTCTTGTGGCATAAAGAATTTCTTTATACGTGTGTGCTTTTACTATTCAGAATAACTAACTATACATCTTACCTAAAAAAAAAATTGTGTGAATGTTTCTGGCAAATAGTAATGCTCTTATAGAACTGTGCACCTCATATAGGTCCAGAGATTTCCAAGCCTTGAGATGTTCAGCTAATACAACAATTGAATCTACTGACCTTAAGAATGCAGTCTTTTGGTGATTAGGATAGACAGAGCCTTCCTCAAAAAGTTGGGAATAAAACTCTGGGGAGTTGTGAAGATGAATACTAATACTGAGGTATACCTAGAAATTAGCAAAAATAGTGGAATCTCTAAGGTCCCCATGAAATACGCTTTTCCGTGGTGCCTTCCATACTTCATAGCATTTTAACAGCTGCACCGTGTAAAAGGTGTCTCTGCTGACAGCTTAATTAAATATTAAATATTAAATATACCCCATCCAGAAAGGTGACAAGACCATCCCCAACGGAATCGCAGAGGAGCAGGTCCTCGCTCCAGATGTGTAGTCGTTAGGATTTTATTTGATCGAAACCTGTAAATCTTTTAAGACTGTTCTGTCCCTTAGTTGCCTACCTGGCTCTCGTGATCTCCAGCTGCTGTAGACTGAAACTTGAGAAAGTACGTGTTCAGTAATGTGTTGGTGAGGAGCTGGAAACACGTTGGTTGCAAGGACTAGTTCCAGAGGCAAGAGGAAAAATCACCCCCCATCTCCCTGCTGGAAGAATGGCCCTCCAGAACCCTTCTTGGGCAGGAAGCTCGTAATACTGCTAGTTCTTTCTGAATTCTGTCCCTGTAATTTTTTTTAGACGGTGCTGTTTGATTCTTTACCCTGAGAGCAAACTCTTAGATTGTCTTTTCTCATGCAAACATTTCTTCTTCCCACAAAGAGAAAAGAATGTATGAAGTCATACAAAATAAAAAGGTGTTTCTTAAAGAATAGTTATAACCATTTTGTTTTTAATGGTACCTAGAAAAAAGAGACAACATTCATGGTTTTCCTTTAGGCATTGTTACGATAAATATAATTCATTATCATTGCTATTTCTCTTTTTTCTTTTTTTAGTTATCTCACTGCAGTTTTAGAAATTCAGTCTTTGATAATGGATTTACTTCATAAAGTAAATAAATTATCTAGTTCAAATGTGATGAGAGAGACATGAAAAAAATAGAATGTATGTGGCTTCACTAAGAGTGAAGAAAATATTCTATTTGAACTGAAGTTGAAATACTAAATTATTAATCACTAGGTTAGTATGATAATAAGTGGCTTTCAAATGAAATGGCTTTGCTGATGAAAGCAGTTCTTGCTGATGTTGTTGGAATAATAAAATTTCTCTGAACAACAACTATTTTTCTTCCTGAAACTGCACTTTTAAAATATTTCTAAGAATACCTGTATAGGATAAAGATTTCATATAAAAACAGA